ATATGGAACTCAAGATTGACTTAAAGTGAACAAAAGAATGGAATTAGTTTTAGGCATATTTTTGGTAATGGATATGAGTATTTAGGCATACTGATTACAATTGTTTTGACTTTAAAAACAGCAACACTAAAAGTTAACATAGGAGACTTTGAACAATAATCCTTTCATAACACTATCATGAATCTTTAACATGATAGTATCAATTATTAGTGCTATCAAAAACACATAGCTAAAAATTATAACAGCACTGTCCATTTTTCTCTTCCTGTTGTGATAAATTCCAGAAATGCATATTACTTCCTATGTGTAAGTCTTAGAACTGATATAAAAAGTGTTCTTTTTAAAAAACATATACAACCATAATACTTTAAACCAAAAACTTATTATCAAATGTTCAAATAAAAGTTATAGTATTTTTATAAGAATTTTTTAAAGTGGAAGGAATCAGGGTCTAATAAAAACTACACGCTGGATAGGTTGACTCTGCCTCTTGAATTATCTTTTAGTCTACAAGTTCTCTCTCATTTTGTTTGGTTTAACTGTCTCTTACTGGTTACTGGTATTGATTCTGCAGACCTGACCACAGCCACACTTACTGATTATACTCTAATTGTAATACAGTATATTCTCCAATATAAATTCAACAGTCAGAACTAGAAACTTGACCAAATTCTTTTTCTACTTTTGGTACTAGTTCTTCCATTAGAAGACACAATAATTGTGTTTTGTTGTTGTTGTAACTTGTTTTGCTAGGTGCAGTTTGTGCATAATAAACATCTGTTGATCAGTATTCTTACAGAAAAACAATAACAAATTATTTGACTCACTGTGCAGTGACTATAAATTTATACCAGTTAATCCACACAACTTCTGCCATTCCTTCATGTACCTCTCTGTTCTTCTAATCTCCAAACCTATCTAGAAAGCACAGGGATTAAGACTACTACTTTAATAATGGAACCTACTCATATCCTATCATCCAGAAGCAACTTCTCATAGCTTCATGGCACTTAAATAAAATCATGAGATTTTTTTACATCTCCAAGTAGATAATGTCTTCCTAAAAGTCTCTTTTGGCTCTCTAATAAAAAGACTGTAGAGCTGGGCACCGGTGGCTCATGCCTAGCTACTCAGGAGGCTGAGATCTGAGGATTACAGCTCAAAGCCAGCCCCAACAGGAAAGGCCATGAGGATCTCTAATTAATCACCAGGAAACTGCAAGTAGCACTGTTGTTCAAAGTGGTAGAGCACTAGCCTTGAGCAAAAGAGCTCACGGACAGTGCCCAGACCCTGAGTTCAAGCCCCACAACAAACTAAAAATTTAAAAAAGAGAGAGAATGTACAGCAATGAAATGATTATGAACATGTGGAAGCCTCAGACATTGCACACTATTAGAATAACATTCCTCCCTTAACTTTTTGTTTGGTATAAATCACAAATCACGGTTGAAGAAGATAAACTAAAAATAGTACCAATGAGTGCTCTCCCTAATGTGAGGAATGAGGTAAAGATTCCCAATCTTACCACTTCTATTCAGCATCTTACTACTGTCATAGAGAAGAGAAAAATGGTACTTAAATAGAAAAGGGAGAAAACTGTCTAAAGACAACAGGACATAAACAGTTTGAAAATACGATCAAATTTTTAAAATGCTATGTCTAAAAAGATTTTGCATATTTAAAAATATTCAAAAACTATTTGTATTTCTAAATACTACCACTATTGTAGTTAAATTTCTAAAAGTATCTATCACTTATAGTAACATCAAGAGATATGAAATAAGATGAATCTAAGGATAGAAGCCTTACTATGAAAAACCAACCAAAAAGAAGTGAGTAGATTTAAACAGATGTTTAGCAAAAGATTATAAACTAGCCAGGTACTGGTGGTTCACACCTGTAATCCTACCTACTCATAAGGCAGAGATCTGAGGATCATGGTTTAAAGTTAGTCCACAGACAGTAAAGTCCCACACTCTTCTCTCCATTAACCACCAAAAAAGCCGGAAATGGGAATTGCAGCTCAAGTGATAGAGCACTGACCCTGAGTACAAAAAAATCTCAGACAGCACCCAGGTCCTGAGTTCAAGCCCCAGGACCAACAACAACAAAATGAAGACAATAACTTTGTCAAAATGCACCTCAGACGAGGTTCATCATTTTATACACACACACACACACACACACACACACACACACACACACACACACACACACACACACACACACACACACACACACACACACACACACACACACACACACACACACACACAGAAAATAAAACTACAACTAGCCAAGTGTGGTAGTTCCAGCCTGTTATTGTCCTAACAGAGATAAGGAGAACAGAAGCTAGGGGAAACCCAAGGAGACTCATTTTGACCAGTAAAAGCTGGATGTGATGGCAAGTGGCTGTCAACACAGTATAAAGAGGTCAGGACCCAAGCTAGCCAGGGCACAAATAAGATATCCTATATGAAAAATAACCAAGTGTGTAGGACTGGGGGCATGACTCAAGTGGTAAAACATTTGCCTAGCATGCAAAGGGTCCTGAGTTCAAACCTTAGGACTACTCCCACTAGTTACAACTATAACACGTCATATCTCCCAAAAAGTCTGACTAACAAAACACAATAGGGGCTGACAGAATGGGGAGAAACTAGAAATCTCACACCCTGCTAATGGCAGTATAAAATGGTACTATCACTGTGGAAAACTCTGCAATTTTCAAAAAGTTAAAAAGTTAAACATATGCTTACCATATGATACAACCATTCTTAACAGTAAGTCCCACAAGAAATAAAAGCATATGCCCATACAAAGACATACAGGAACTACTTATAACAGCTTCAATATGAAAACACAAATGTCCATGAAGAGTTCAATATTGCTATACGCCAGAGTGTAATATTACTGAGCAACAAAAAAGAACAGACTATTGATACAAACATGCAGAAATAAGAAAAAATATGCCTAGTGGAGTAAGATAACTTTAATTTCAAAAAAAATTAAAAATTTAAATTAAACCTAAAAATGTAACTGGAAGTCAAGAGAAATATGTTTCACATAAATTTTTTCACAAACACATGTACTACTTACTTAAAATGACCTTTTCATTTTTAACATAACTTAAGTACTTGTACACAAAAGTCTGACACCAAAGTAAAAGATTTTGACCATTATCCTAAAAACACTATACACAAAAAGACTACTATTCAAACTTTTTTGTTGTTGTTGTTGGTTGTGGGGCCTAAACTCTGGGCCTGGGCGCTGTCCCTCAGCTCTTCAGCTCAAGGCTAGTGCTCAGCCACTTGAGCCACAGCGCCACTTCCAGCTTTTTCTGCTTATATGGTGCTGAGGAATCGAACCCAGGGCCTCATGCAGGCAAGGCAAGCACTCTATCACTGAGCCACCTTCCCAGCCCTCAACTTTTATATTAAGAAAATCTTTAATGGTAATATTTCTGTATCACTTATTTTTTTTTATACCAGAACTACAAAGGTAGAAAACTGGTAAAACCAACCCCTCGTATATGGACCCATTTCTTGTCTATAAACTCTTCCCATCTGCTAATACTAGACAGCTCAAGCTTTTGAGTTTTTGTTTTGCAGAAGTTTTCAACATTTCTTCTTTTACAGAACTCATAAAAGAAAGCTACTATTTCAAATACCTACTGTTTCAAATACCGTAACTGTCGCAATCTGAAATGTTAATGCCAACATGTCCTTCCCCAGAAGCTTATTATGCCCCACATCTACACTCAAAAAATAAACCTAAATATGAAGACACAGAGAAGGGTCGAGGTCACTACTGAGCAGGAGAAAAATATCACCAAAACTATTCTAAGGAACTATAGGCTAGAGGCAGTGCTCAAGTGGTAGAACGCCAGTCTAGAAACAATTATCATATTATAGATGCAATTTAAGAATTTTTAAAAACATGCCAACCTGTCAACCTCTCTGGACTAAGTACATAGCAATCCCAAGACTATTCACATTTGGGAGGAGAGCAGGTAAAGAAGTAGGTAAAGGGACAGGAAATCCTATTGTTGTGCCATGCTCTGGAAATTAAAAAGCCAAACACCTGATATCCTATCTACTCAGGAGGCTGAGATCCAAAAGATCTCAGATGGGGATGAACCCAGCCTGGGCAGGAAAGTCTTCTGATGGACATCTCCAAGTAATTAGCACAAAGCAGGAGTGGAAACATGGGTCTAGTAGAGAACACTCAAAGCTCCAGGCCCTGAGTTCAAGGCCCTATACTGCCAAAAAAAAAAAAAAAAAAAAGGTGAAAGACAAGAACCATGCTCTAATAGGCAGAAAGAACCCACAAGCTTACAAACAAAAGAAAAAACCTGCATCAGGACATTAAAAGGTATTCAAAGAAATGAAAGATGTTAAGTGTTAAGAACTAAAGTTTAAAAGATGAGTTTCCCTTGGCAAAAAAGTGAGGAAGGCTGACCTAATAAATAAAACTCTTCACCTTCTGACACGAATCTACATTGTCTAACCTTTTTTCTTTTAGGGTCAGAAACATTTTAATGTGTACTGCTAACAAAACATTTTCATTTTCTTAAAATAGAAGAGTAAAAATTTAGATTAATAAAATTACAAAACTTAATAAAAATATATCTACTTAAAACCATTGCTTCCCTTGAGAAAATAATGACATAATTTTGTATTCATGAGTAATGAATACAAAACATGCATTGAGCACTGCTGTGACTTTAAAATGTTATTCTTGTAGGCTGTCAGTTCTAGAAGTTTACAGTATGGTTGATTTTCTAATTTTACAAACTAAAATATTTCATGCACAGGTTTTGTTAGCTACAACACTTCCTTAGCTATTTAACTGAACTCTTGCACTATGACATATTCAACAATCCTTGTTAATTGATACATTTTTAGTACCCTAAGGCAGGCTGTGTGACTGTATCTTTACTCTTTCTAGCACTGAAGCAGTAATAAGCAGTAATATTATGTTCAAACATAACCTCCTACCTTCACACCAACAGCGACCTCAGTGACTATTCTGTAAAGAAAAAACACAAAAACAAAAGTTTTAACCTCCTTCTAATGATCAGTGCTTGACTCGTTTCCAGAGTCATCATTCATAAAACTTCCAGACACAGTGGTTACTTCTTTGTACTTTTTTTAATCACCTTGGTTTACTACAAGTAACTTTCAAACACTACAGCAAAGTTGGGGAACGCATGGTAATCTTTAAGAATATTTTAACGTTTTTACTTTCAATGATTTTACCCAAAACATTGTAATAGCATTCCTACCATTCTAGTATGCTAGGTAACCAATTTAATATCTCAGTTCTTTAGTACTCTAAATGAAATCTAGGGGTAAGAGAACAGGATGGGAAGCTCAAGTCGATCAGTTTCCTCTGTTGATCTTGATGAAGAGATTCCAAACTCCTATGTTTTCATCTGGAACACCCAATCTCTCAAGATAGTGTTCTAGGATGATTTCTTCGGTCTGTTAAAACTTTTACTCAGTATCTTTTGTAAACACCACCAAACCCTCTGGGTTTGGCCAAAATAAATTCGGATTTTAACTTTGGACATGACTGAGTTGAACAGCTGTGCTTGGTTAAAGGGACCTGGTGTGGGTTTTCTTCTTCTTCTTCTTCTTCCTTAATACCCATAGTAGAGCTGTCATTCTGTCCTCAAGTGCTCCCCACAGCCCCCCCCCCCGTTTCTGACAGTGAGATAAACAGTCAGTTCTTCGGTGGGGCGCCCGTGGCTGGTCCACACCTCTTCCTTGGCCTGCGTGCTACCTCCCTCAGCATCCGACCAGCACCCCCCCCCCCACCCTCGGCTCTCAAAAGACGCACCTCGCTTCTGCCTTTGGGTTCTTTTGGAGGGGGGTGTCCTCCCCTCCTCCCCTCCCCCCTCCCCCTCGAAACTGACCAAAGTAGACAAGGAAAAAACACCAAAAAATAAATAAAGAGGGCCGCCGTCGACCCCGGTGGGGGGGGGGGGGGGGGGCTCCGGGCCCGGCCTCGGCGGTCAGCCTGGGCCCCGTGTGACTGATGTCGCCCTCAACCACTTCGTTTTATTATTGGGGGGTGGGGGGGAGTGGGGGGGGGCGGGGGAGGGGGGGTGGGGGGAGCGGAGGCCGATTAAATCTCGGGGGGGGGGCCTGGAGAGCCGAGCGGGGCCTGGTCTTAGGGCCCACCTTCCCCTCCCCTCCCCCCCACCCCAATTAATTCCTTTGGAAAAAGAAGCCAAATAAGATAAATACGTGAATTCACGAGAGAGAGGGCCTCGGTGCGGCCTCCCGCCCCGGGAGCCAGTCGGAGGACAACAAAGGCGGGGGGCGCCGGCGGCTGCCCTCGGCCGGCTCTCCCCGGGGCTCCCGCCACCCGCGCGCGGCTCCCCGAGCCCGCCCCGCCGGGGGACACGGGGAGGGGGGGCGGCCGGGGTCCCCCCCACCACCACACACACCCGCCGCACCCCCTCCCCTCAACGCGCCACCCCGGCCTGCTCGGCCCCCCCTTCCCGCGCCCCCGCCCCGGGGCCCCGCGCACCCCTCGACGCGGGCCCTGGATTGGGGGATCCCCCCTCCTCGGGTGCGGTCCTCCCCCCACACACACACCCGGCGGCGCCCCCCCCCCCAGCCCCGCCGCGGCCTCCGCGCCCGGGAGCGCGGGGAGGGGTGTGCGCGCCGGGCGGGGGTGGGGTAACGGCAGCCCGGCCCTGGGAGGGGCCGCGGCGCCCCCCCCCCCCGGCCCCGGACCCCCGCATCCCCCGGGCCCCGGCCCCCTCACGCCTCCGGCCGCACGGCCCTCTCCACCCCGGCGCGCACACGTACCCGTCCATTGCCGAGCCGGACAAAGCTTCTCTCTTCCCCAGAACCGAGCCACGCAGCCAGCGAGCCACACGAGCGGCGAGAAAATGGCGGCCCGGCCCCGACGGAAATTGCCGAAGGTGCCGGGGCGCGCGGGGCAGCGGCGGCGGCGGAAAGAGCCGAGCGCGCGGGCGCCGGGCCGCGGGAGCTGAGCGGCCGGGCCGCGGGGCGGGGCCGGGCGGGGGCGGGGCCGCTGCGAGGGGCGGGGCCGCTGCGAGGGGCGGGGCCGCGGAGGGGCGGGGCCGCGGAGGGGAGGGCCAGCGCTCACCCCCCTCCTCTTCCTGGGCTACCTAACAGAGCCTCCTCCCCGGCCTGTCCCAAGCCCTCGGCTGACAATGATTGCGCCCAAGCAACCCTACTTCCTCCTTAGCTAGTCCCACCTGTGTAACCCTTGACCTATGTAGCAGGCCTGGGGGTGCCTTGGGGTAGAGAATTGCTTTGTTAGACGGTCTCCCAGGCCCTTTCTCATGGTCTCCCCTGCAAAAGGCTTGCCCCATGGAGCCAGGCCGGCTGATGAGTAAAAAGTAGTACTTTCGGAAAGCAAGGGCCACATCTCAGACTGGAACAAGGGTTCTGCTTGCAAACTTGGGACTTGATCAGGCTAAGTGGGAGCCCTCCTGGTTCTCATTTCAGTTGGTCATTTGTGTGCACCTGTTATGGGGGGAGGGGAAGGGAACTCTGGATACAGTGGAGGGAGGGGTTAAGAGTTTGTGCTGAACAAAAGCTGCAGATAGTTACCGAGCTGTGAAAGAAAATGGGGATAGGATTAGGGGACCTTTGATTGGGGAGGGTAAAAATCATCACAATGGACCATGCAAATGAACTCATTTTGCCCTCTGTACCAAGATAGCAATTTTAATAGTGAAGTAGACATTTTCCTGTAGTATTTTTTTTAATAGTACGATAGTGTTTCTAGTAGAGGCTCGACCAGTTTGGATTGGCACTTGCTGGAGAAATTTGCTCAGTGGATGACACCGCTGCCATCTCTCCCCACCTTCATTCTTCAGCCCCACTCCCAATCCACTCCAGAAGTCTTGGGAAATAAATATCCCATACGATTTTCTGTTCATTTGAATACCGACTCTAGTTTTCCAGTATCTCTTCTAGGGAAACTGCTTCTCCCCTAATTGGAACTTCACTATATTAAATACTAGTTTGGGCTCAACAATTAAAATGTAAGCTCCCGAAGGGCAGAAACTACATACAGTATTAATCCCCTACTTTACACACTGTGGTTCAATCAATATTATTCGGCGTTTTGCTTTATCTTGGCAAAGACAAATTATTCTACTGGAGGAAACAATTTTTTCCATCCCCATGGCAAAAGAAAGTATAGTTGTCCTGAAAACTCACTGTTTTTTTTTTCTCCTACGAAAGCACAGGAGAGCAAACATATATTTGCTTATTTTAGCAAACACTGTAGAAAAGAGTTAAGGGCATTATTTACAAGTCAAGGCGGGAAAATAAGAGATTAAAAAAATGAGATGAACTAAAGTATTCAATGCTAGGACAAAATACAACTTGAGTCTGGAATGCGATGAATACAGCCATAGACAGAGGTAGGCTCCCTTCCTCATTCATCAGTAGTTTGTTAGTCCAGGCCAAATATGATCTTAAAATGTTAAATGGAAAACTTAGAAGTAAACAGTAAGTTTTAAATTGCCCTCCATTCTGAGTAAACCATAGTACAATCTTTACCATTCTTTTTCTCTTTCACCCTAGACATTTAATTCCAATCATCTCTCTCTGGAATATCTAGGCTATATAAGCTATTCTCCAGTTAACCAGTTCATTCATCACAGTATCTCATTGTGTGTTCAGGTAACCTTTATTACTCAATAAAGCTCTCAAAATATAAGAGCAGTAATGCTGACAATTTAGATATACCAAATTAAAGCAATTCTTTGTAAACAAGGCAAAAATATCAGATGTTTTGAGGCAGTGCACATTCATGTAACTTTCATTATAGTGGTTCTCACAGTTCTTTGATTTTTATTAGTTTTTTAGTGTATATGGGGATGTTGGAACTATCTATAGTTTTAGGCATCTGCTGGGACAAGAGGGGCTTGGAACTTATTCCCTGTGGATAGGTGTATCATAAAACTATACTGCATAAAACCTGGGTTCACATTTAACTCTTTCATTTGATAGCGACAGGACCTTAGATGTGTTCTCTGTCCTCCACAGGAAGAAGTATCCATACCAGAAAGGAAACAACATAGAGCCTTCTTTCTAGATGATCATAAATTCTAAATGATTTAGTGTGTAAAGAGAAACTTCTCAGTTCAACAACTGGCTACAGTAAATACCTAATGCTTAATAATAGGTGTTTCATCGTCTCTCTTATTCCTGTTATTACATTATTAGTCATTGGAGAAGAACAGGACACAAATTTGCTCCTTGGATTTTTAATAGCCAAAGATATTCATATAAATAAATCTATATAGAGACTTTTTTTCCCCACGGTTAAATATGTCACTAAAGTAATTAGATTGGCTGGTATCTAGAGAAATAAATCTGGGGAAAATGTCATAGATAAATTTGTAAAGCCCCATCCAAATCTAAATTTGTATGATTTTATGAGTTAACTGTGAGATTGTTAATCTCAACATTAGAGGACAGTCAACTTTTGTATACATGACAAGATTCCTGACAAGAGAAGGCATAAAAAGGTGATGTGCCTACACAGTATTCGTTACATACCCATATCTTCTTACTTTCAGCATAATGATGTGTTCTTTCCTGTCTGAATGGTAAATGTTTTGACCTTTTACAGAGATTTACACTTATGTGAACAATGATTAAATGTAAAATTCAGTGTATACTAAAGGAAAATGAGGTCCATTGATACAATAAAAGTAGGAAATGAGATCATGTTCATAATGCTTGATTTAATTCCACTTCTAGCTCCATCTTATCTGCTTATCGTACTAGAGGTTTCATTTAACTTTTTCATGATGCGGTTGCTACTTATGAGACCAAGGAATAGCAAAAGGATCAACTAGATCCCATTTTAATTTTCAAGTAGGTGACTAGAAATTCAAACTGGAGAAAAAGAAATTCAAATAATATACAGTCCAATGAAAAAACTATCTAGAAAAGGCAAATGTATAAGCTACAAAGTAGGTAAGCAGTAGTAAGGGGCTGGTAGGGGCAAGAGGAAGCAATGTAAATGGACAGAGTCATTTTGAAGATGATGCACGTGGTTCAAAGCTAGAATGCGATGAGCATTATGCATCTTATAAATGTACTCGACATTGAATTAAACACCTCATTAGTACTCATGAATTTCAGGGCATGTGAATTATATGCCAATAAAGCTGTTACTAAAAGAAAAAGCATGTACCTTGTATTCCTACTACCCCACTACTGAATTTGATCTTCAAGAAACATTTATCAAGATGCATTATACTCACAAACTGACACGTTGAATTGAAACTGCTTTTTACAACTACTTAAAAGATAATAAAAAATAATTAAATTTTAAAAAAGGAACAATCCATCTTGTCAGTTTATTGCATGTTCCTTCAGAGATGTCCTAACATGTATTTTCATTATGTACATATTGTGCTTTTATTCAAAGAAATAAGTACCTTTTTTGCAATGATAGGCCATTTATTTTGCAACTTAAATATCTGTATCTTAGAAATCTTTCCTTATTAGTACACTTAGAGTGGCTTCAGTCTTTCTATATGGCTATGCAATAGTCCACCAAGTAAATTATAATTTATTTACCTAGACTAGGTTGGTGAGCATTTAGGTTGCCTCTAATCTTGCTTTTTAACAAGCCATTCCATAATGAATATCTGTCTTATAAATCAGTTTCCATGTGTTTGAATGTACTTACTGAACAAATACTATTAAACTATTGGCATAAAACATTTTTAATTTTAAAAGATGTGACCAATAGCCATGTGCTGGCTACTCACACCTGTAATGCTACCTACTTGGGAGGCTACAATCTGAGGATCATGGTTTGTAGCAGGTTTGGGCAGGAGTCTGTGAGACTTCATCTCCAATAAACTACTCAGAAAAAGCCAGAAGTGGCACTGTGGCTCAAGTAGTAGAGCACTAGCCTGGAGCAAAAGAAGCTCAGGAACAGCTCCCAGTCCCAGAGTACAAGCTCCAGGACTGGGATGAAAGAAAGGAAAAAAGGAAGAAAGAAAGAAAGGAAGAAAGGAAGGAAGAAAGAAAGAAAGAAGAAAAGAAAAGAAAAAGGATGTGACCATATTACGCTACATGGGTCTTGAGCCCTTGGAGAAACTATTAGCAGTTCCTGGTTGAAAGAGAAAGAGCAGGAATTTCTTAATATAGAAGGAATTCCTACAAAATTCAAAAGTCAAAGCCAAGGGCCAAATAGAACAGTGGATGCATCATCTGAATAAAATTGTAAAATCACACACAAAAGTAACTGCTATCCTCAGCCCTACTGAAAAGGAATTCAAGGTGAAAAAAAAAATACTAAGCTACTTTTCTTTCACTTGACAACACACCCTCCCTAAGATACATCTGAGTCTGAGTAAAAGGATTCCTTTTCTTGCTTATCAGTACCATAGACAGAATAAGGATACTTCAAGTTATATTAAATTTCAAAAATTTTTTTCACATGAAAGTCTTTCTTTGGAATCTATGGATGAGATAACCCCCATGATCAAGAATATTCAGGATCCAGGAAGCTAGAGGTCCCACATATTGATGGAGAAGAGAAGGCAATTGGATGTTCAGAAAAAAGACTTTAAAGTACAGTTATATAACAGGCCTGAAGGGTCCAATGGAATAAGAGACCACAGGGCTTCAGGAATTTCTTTTTCATTTCTTTCTTGTAAAGGTAATGTACAGAGGGGTAACAGTTACATAAATCAGGTAAGGAGTACATTTCTTTTTGAACAGTGTCACCTCTTCCCTCATTTTCTCCCAGTTTTTCCCACCCAGTCCCCTCCCCCACAAATTGTATAATTCATTTATCATGTATCATTGCTACATTTGTTCACCCTTTGTCCCACCATTTCTGGGCTCCTCCTTCCCCTCCCCAAAACACATAAGCTTACGTATAAGACAAAAGGTATAGAAATCAAAAACAACAACGAAAGAAAAAAAGTAACAAAAAATCCTCTTGTTTCCATTTCTTAGAGTTCACTTCCAAAA